TCTGAATGTGCGTGGATGTTGTGCAAATGATAAGAAAGAGATGATTGTGGATGTTATGAATGAGAAGAAACTGGATGTCCTGGCTTTAAGTGAAACAAAGCTGAAGGGGGTGGGAGAGTTTCAATGGAGAGGAATAAATGGGATTAGGTCAGGGGTTTCAAATAGAGTTAGAGCTAAAGAAGGAGTAGCAATAATGTTGAAGGATAAGCTATGGCAGGAAAAGAGGGACTACAAATGTATAAATTCAAGGATTATGTGGAGTAAAATAAAGATTGGATGTGAAAAGTGGGTTATAGTAAGCGTGTATGCACCTGGAGAAGAGAGAAGTGTAGAGGAGAGAGAGAGATACTGGGAAATGTTGAGTGAATGCGTGGGGAGTTTTGAATCAAGTGTGAGAGTAATGGTGGTTGGGGATTTCAATGCTAAAGTGGGTAAAAATGTTATGGAGGGAGTAGTAGGTAAATTTGGGGTGCCAGGGGTAAATGTAAATGGGGAGCCTTTAATTGAGCTATGTGTAGAAAGAAATTTGGTAATAAGTAATACATATTTTATGAAAAAGAGGATAAATAAATATACAAGGTATGATGTAGCACGTAATGAAAGTAGTTTGTTAGATTATGTATTGGTGGATAAAAGGTTGATGGGTAGGCTCCAGGATGTACATGTTTATAGAGGGGCAACTGATATATCGGATCATTATTTAGTTGTAGCTACAGTTAGAGTAAGTCAGTAAGAGGTAGATGGGAAAAGAGGAAGGTGGCAACAACAAGTAAGAGGGAGGTGAAAGTGTATAAACTAAGGGAGGAGGAAGTTCGGGCGAGATATAAGCGACTATTGGCAGAAAGGTGGGCTAGTGCAAAGATGAGTAGTAGGGGGGTTGAATAGGGTTGGAATAGTTTTAAAAATGCAGTATTAGAATGTGGGGCAGAAGTTTGTGGTTATAGGAGGGTGGGGGCAGGAGGAAAGAGGAGTGATTGGTGGAATGATGAAGTAAAGGGTGTGATAAAAGAGAAAAAGGTAGCTTATGAGAGGTTTTTACAAAGCAGAAGTGTTATAAGAAGAGCAGAGTAAATGGAGAGTAAAATAAAGGTGAAGAGAGTGGTGAGAGAGTGCAAAAGGAGAGCAGATGAAAGAGTGGGAGAGGCACTGTCAAGAAATTTTAATGAAAATAAGAAAAAAATTTGGAGTAAGTTAAACAAGTTAAGAAAGCCTAGAGAAAGTATGGATTTGTCCGTTAAAAACAGAGTAGGGGAGTTAGTAGATGGGGAGAGGGAGGTATTAGGTAGATGGCGAGAATATTTTGAGAAACTTTTAAATGTTGAGGAAGAAAGGGAGGCGGTAATTTCATGCACTGGCCAGGGAGGTATACCATCTTTTAGGAGTGAAGAAGAGCAGAATGTAAGTGTGGTGGAGGTACGTGAGGCATTACGTAGAATGAAAGGGGGTAAAGCAGCTGGAACTGATGGGATCATGACAGAAATGTTAAAAGCAGGGGGGATATAGTGTTGGAGTGGTTGGTACTTTTGTTTAATAAATGTATGAAAGAGGGGAAGGTACCTAGGGATTGGCGGAGAGAAATGCATAGTCCCTTTATATAAAGGGAAAGGGGACAAAGAGATTGTAAAAATTATAGAGGAATAAGTTTACTGAGTATACCAGGAAAAGTATACGGTAGAGTTATAATTGAAAGAATTAGAGGCAAGACAGAATGTAGAATTGCGGATGAGCAAGGAGGCTTCAGAGTGGGTAGGGGATGTGTAGATCAAGTGTTTACATTGAAGCATATATGTGAACAGTATTTAGATGAAGGTAGGGAAGTTTTTATTGCATTTATGGATTTAGAAAAGGCATATGATAGAGTGGATAGAGGAGCAATGTGGCAGATGTTGCAAGTATATTGAATAGGTGGTAAGTTACTAAATGCTGTAAAGAGCTTTTATGAGGATAGTGAGGCTCAGGTTAGGGTGTGTAGAAGAGAGGGAGAATACTTCCCGGTAAAAGTAGGTCTTAGACAGGGATGTGTAATGTCACCATGGTTGTTTAATATATTTATAGATGGGGTTGTAAAAGAAGTAAATGCTAGGGTGTTCGGGAGAGGGGTGGGATTAAATTATGGGGAATCAAATTCAAAATGGGAATTGACACAGTTACTTTTTGCTGATGATACTGTGCTTATGGGAGATTCTAAAGAAAAATTGCAAAGGTTAGTGGATGAGTTTGAGAACGTGTGTAAAGGTAGAAAGTTGAAAGTGAACATAGAAAAGAGTAAGGTGATGAGGGTATCAAATGATTTAGATAAAGAAAAATTGGATATCAAATTGGGGAGGAGGAGTATGGAAGAAGTGAATGTTTTCAGATACTTGGGAGTTGACGTGTCGGCGGATGGATTTATGAAGGATGAGGTTAATCATAGAATTGATGAGGGAAAAAAGGTGAGTGGTGCGTTGAGATATATGTGGAGTCAAAAAACGTTATCTATGGAGGCAAAGAAGGGAATATATGAAAGTACCAACACTCTTATATGGATGTGAAGCTTGGGTGGTAAATGCAGCAGCGAGGAGACAGTTGGAGGCAGTGGAGATGTCCTGTCTAAGGGCAATGTGTGGTGTAAATATTATGCAGAAAATTCGGAGTGTGGAAATTAGGAGAAGGTGTGGAGTTAATAAAAGCATTAGTCAGAGGGCAGAAGAGGGGTTGTTGAGGTGGTTTGGTCATTTAGAGAGAATGGATCAAAGTAGAATGACATGGAAAGCATATAAATCTATAAGGGAAGGAAAGAGGGGTAGGGGTCGTCCTCGAAAGGGGTTTGGAAAGAGGGGGTAAAGGAGGTTTTGTGGGCGAGGGGCTTGGACTTCCAGCAAGCGTGCATGAGCGTGTTAGATAGGAGTGAATGGAGACGAATGATACTTGGGACCTGACGATCTGTTGGAGTGTGAGCAGGGTAATATTTTGTGAAGGGATTCAGGGAAACCGGTTATTTTCATATAGTCGGATTTGAGTCCTGGAAATGGGAAGTACAATGCCTGCACTTTAAAGGAGGGGTTTGGGATATTGGCAGTTTGGAGGGATATGTTGTGTATCTTTATACGTATATGCTTCTAAACTGTTGTATTCTGAGCACCTCTGCAAAAGCAGTGATAATGTATGAGTGTGGTGAAAGTGTTGAATAATGATGAAAGTATTTTCTTTTTGGGGATTTTTTCTTTTTTGGGTCACCCTGCCTCGGTGGGAGACGACCGACTTGTTAAAAAAAAAAAAAAAAAAAAAAAAAAAAATTATATATAATATATATATATATATATATATATATATATATATATATATATATACATACATATATACATACATATATGCACATATATATGCACATATATACATACTCGGTAATAAGTGTGAATGTTTTTTATGCTGAGTAAATTTATATTTTTGAATAGTTAGGAAGTGTTATCTGGAACTCTAGTGACCATTTACTAACAGTTTGCTCTTGCAGATTCCCATGCACATATACCAAAAACAAGATAAGTATTAGATTATGGTACAGGGATTAATGTTTGAAGTATACATAAACATTTTTTTTTGAGAGAATTCCCACTTTCAAAAATTTTTTTACGTACACTATGTGATTGTTAAATTTCAGTCTACTGTCACGCGTAACTTAATTACTTTCCCTCATCTTGTTTTTCAATGTTTTGTTTATGTTTAGTACAACATTTTTAGCTTTGTTCCTAAACATTGTAGGTCTTAGCAGTATTGAATTTGAATTAGTTCTTGCCTAGGAAGCTCTAAATCTAGATTGAAGATGATAAAGATTTTTCATCTGCAAATAGAACTAAAGTTTCTAAGAGGAATTAGGTAGGTCAGTGACAAGGAATAATAAGAGGGCATAGGATGCTTTTTCCATGGCATCTATATGTTGATAGGTCGGGTTGACGAGACATTGTCACCACTGCTTATGTTGTCTACTGCAACTTTCAAGTTTATGTTGTCTGTCGTAATTTTCAAGTTTAAGGAGTAGGCTGCCATGGTCTGTTTATAAAAAAAAAAAAAAAAAAAAAAAAAAAAAAAAAAAAAAAAAAAAAAAGCCCATTGGATATTTTCTACGAATAAATAACCAAGCACTTTTATTATTTTATCATGCTTTTCTCTGGCCTGAATCAAATTGGCAAGGGTTAGGATTATCACAATTAGTTGTATAGAGTACAAAATGTCCAATTTCTTGGATCAGGAGCCCTTTGCTGCAGTGAGGGACCTGTCCTTGAAAAGGTATAGAAAGAATACACGATATACAAAGATGATGTGCAGAACAAACAAATTTGCAAAAATGTGATAATGCTGTTTAGTATTCAAGTGTTGGATACAAGGTATTTGTACAATGCAATATATCTGATAAGTTTTAAAAACTAGTTTGCATAGCCAAAGAACACTTCAGTTTTTGAATCCAGGTCGAGATTGTATGCTGTAGTAATCATAAAGGCAAATTGTCAATAGTGACTCATTTTCTTCCCCCACAATCTGTGTACTGTACTTATTACGTTGAGAACTAGTGCTAAATCAGTCATAGTGCCCAGGAAATGGGAGATAATAAAATTTGATCCAGAGGAAGAACTCAGATTTACTTCGATCAGGACCTTCAGCATCAAGGCATCTTCTGGGAATGAAGTATTAGTTAAAATTACTAAATGTATTATCATTCATTAAAAAGAAACCACTAATAATACATTCGGGGAAAATGCTGAACCCAGAGGAGATAGTACCTAAATTCATGTTACTCATGCTTTCTCAGAGATACTTAAACTAGCAGTCATTAGCCCTACTGAAGCTTTTTTGGTAAATTATATAGTATTATCAAAGACCATTCCTTGATTCTAAGCTCTAAAAGGTATATTTGTAAGCACTGCAGCTATATACAACACAACTTCAGATTTCACATAAGTGGTTCATGTGTCCTTTTTTTTTTTACCCATTGGTGAAATTTTATGTGCAGGTCAAGCAAAAACTAATTAAGATATAAATTTATTCATGTACATATGTGACTGGGAATCAATACTTGTTCATCAATATAAAGCTACAACATAATTCAATTATATACAGCAAATATAGTCCTTTAGTAGTAACTATAAAGCGCCTTTACACAGAATGAATCAAATAAAATATAAAGTAACTAAATCTGAATAAAGGCGTATTCCAGGTACAAGGTTAATTAAAATTGAAAAAATTTAAATAAAATTCTCCACATTTACAAGTATTGAGTTAGGAGATTCGGGTATCTACATGTGGTCATAAATTCAATTTAATGAAACTGTAAAATAACATGGAGAATATATAACTATAATAAAGCATAAAAGCATTTTGACATGTTTTGTTACTGATTGCGCAGACGACTAGCAGTAGGAGACGCATAGCAACTTTACAACACAAGTTGTTAAGCTCAGGACGAGGTTATTTCTGCAGATAACCTGTCTTAACATTTCCAGTTTTTTTTTCCAATAGTACAGTGCTGTGTATATATATATATATATTTGTTTTGAATATTAAAGAGTAGTGTATCGTGCAGTAGAAAGGTTCAATGGTTGAGATACATCCTCTGTGACCTCTGCAAGCTGTATAAGAGCCATAGCTCCCATCCATTTCTCCTTAGTTTCTCCTCCAGGAAGTTGACCCATTACTGGAGTACAAAGTGAAGAGGAAGCCTTGACAACAACAGAGGGTCGGGTTTGGTTCTCTTGATCTGCACTGCGTCTGGTATTTTCCAGTTCCCCCTGTTCAAGACGAGCTTCTCGTAGCCATCTCTTCTTGGGCTGCCTCATGCGCCAAGTCTCTTCTGCCTGTGGGGTTTTGTCAGAAAATTGGGATTTGTCACCAACATGATCTGTAGATTCGGTGGCAATGGTGGATGAAAGATGTGCTTCTGGAAGAGAAAGTACTACATTTGGCAACTGTTCTTGGTAGCTTTCAGTGAAGGTTTTCTTATCTGACAGCTCCACTGGAGGAACTGTATGATCTTCAGTTGGCCTGATATTCCAAGGTAATCCAACCAATACCTGATCACTTTCCAAAAAATGTTCAGGAAGACCTAAGTGAGTACTATTCATTTCCAGTGTACATGTATTTGGAAAGTCTACTTCAAGAATAACCTTGGGTTCTTGGAATGAGAGCTGAGGAGGCTCATGTGAGCCAAGACCACTATTTACTGAAACATGTGTGTAAACATTATCCTCATTTTCAACCAATGGCTTTATCCCATCCATATCAAAGCCACGGTAAGTATGTGTTTTGGCAGGACTCTGCAAGTTTTGTGTATTCTGCAATACACGACCATGATGTGATGTTGGCAGATGACGCTGTGGGCGATGATAGTCTCCATATTTATTTTCATCTCCGCCATAACTACCAGGAGACGTATACAAATTTTCATCTGTAAGATGCGTTTGGTAAGCAGTGGTTTCACGGCTGTCAGGGAGATTTTGCTGTTGTTCCATTAATGGACCGAGACCACGGCGGGATTTGGTGCGCTTAACTGGTGGGGGAGACATTATATCAGAATCTGAAGTTGGGGAGTGTGGAGTATGTGGAGTTTCAGGCGTGCCATCCAGTTCACGTTTGTTTTTACGGACTTTAGCTGGTGTTCGCTCCATTTTCTCATGGCGATATTTCTCTAACCACTGCAAGACCTGTTGAAATAAAGTGGATGATCAAAATACAGTTAACATAAATATAGATTAAAGAGGGGGGGGAGACTAGGTAATGTATACTAATAATATATACCAACTGCTTAGTAAGTCACCTTTTGAAGATAAACATTAAATTTTTTTTTGTACGTAAGTATCAATTACACAAATATACTAAAAAAAAGTTCATAATCAACATCAACAAAATTTTCCTACAAGCATTTCTAGTGTTCATGGTGCCTTCCCATTTCCTGAAATCCTTTACATGCCAAATACTTCTGTCATTTACTTTCACACTACACATTGTATACATCTGCAATGGTAAACCATACAGGATGGGGTTTTAACTTGCTTGTAAATTACTGATGAGCAGATTTTAAAGATACAGTACATGAAGAATAAATTCATTTTCCCAGCAATTTAGTATACACAGACATGTGGTTCTTTGATTATCTTCCCTATGGTTCAGTCTCACACCAGCCCTCCTAGGTTGGAAAGGAAATACTACAGGATTAAGAACTATTAACAAAGTTGTGTATATTGAAGGAAAGCAGAGGTTTTTAAGATTTGCATCTCATCTTGAAAGTTCAAAAGAATGAACAAAGCACCAATCTTGCCAATGCAAAAAACTTAAGTTTCCTGTTCACATTTATTTAACAGAAGATAGTACCTTCCTGGATGATTTCTGTTTACCAAGAACACTGCATTCAGGAAGCTATTCATCCACCAACCAACTGCATACACAAAGATCATTATCTCTATTCTATTCAATTATTTTCATACAAGCAGCCAATGGAGATGTTGCCCATCCTTGAAGACTGCTTGCACACCATTCAAACAAAAATATTTCTTCCCTCTTAACCCTTTGACTGTGTCGGTCGTATATATACGTCTTACGAGCCACAGTGTTTGACATATATATACTCGTAAATTCTAGCAGCTTCAAATCAAGCAGGAGAAAGCTGGTAGGCCCACATGTGAGAGAATGGGTCTGTGTGGTCAGTGTGCACCATATAAAATAAATCTTACAGCATGCAGTGCATGAGAAAAAAAAAAAAAACTCCAACCGTTTTTTTTTAATTAAAATACCGACTTTGTGGTCTATTTTCGTAAGAGTACAGTGGACCCCTGGCATACGATGGCATCAGCATACGTTAAATCCGGCATACGATGCATTTTAACGCAAAAATTTTGCCTCGCCTCACGCGATTCGTCCGAGACGCGTCCCACGTCTGGCCTGAGTGCCAGTGTTCACAAGCCAGCCAGTGCGGTCGCATCTACGCATACATTCGGTACATTTCACATTATCCCAGTGTTTTTAGTGATTGTAACTGCAAAATAAGTCACCATGGACCCCAAGAAAGCATCTAGTGCCATCCCTGTGGTAAAAAGGTTGAGAATTAGTATGGAATTGAAAAAAGAGATTAAGAAAATGTGTGCAAAGTGGCTTGAAGTGCAAACCTTTATGGATGAAAATCACCCTCACACAGCTATTGCAAGCCGTGCTGGTGACTATTACAATGACAATGTTGTGAACCACTTTAGACAAATCATAAAGGAACGAGAGGTACAGGCCTCTATGGACAGATATGTTGTGCGACAGAAGTCCACTGACTCTCAAGCTGGTCCTAGTGGCATTAAAAGAAGGGAAGTAACCCCGGAAAAGGACTCGATACCTCAAGTCCTAATGGAAGGGGATTCCCCTTCTAAACAATAAGTTCGACACTCTCCCCTCCTCCCATCCCATCAATCATCACCAGATCTTCATTAAAGGTAAGTGTCATGTATTCTATTGTTAGTAGAGTACTACTTACTGTGCATGTCTTCTTCAGTTTGTGTGCATTAAACTTAACATTTCATGCAGTAAAACTTTTTTTTTTTTCCATACTTTTGGGTGTCTTGCACGGATTAATTTGATTTCCATTATTTCTTATGGGTAGGTAGTAGGTTGGTAGACAGCAACCACCCAGGGAAGTACTACCGTCCTGCCAGATGACTGTGAAACAGAAACCTGTAACTGTTTTGCATGATGGTAGGATTGCTGGTTTCTTTTTCTGTCTCATAAACACGCTAGATACCAGGGATATCTTGCTACTCCTACTTACACTTTGGTCACACTTCACAGACACGCACATGCATATATATATACATACATCTAGGTTTTTCTCCTTTTTCTAAATAGCTCTTGTTCCTCTTTATTTCTTCTATTGTCCATGAGGAAGTGGAAAAGAATCTTTCTTCCGTAAGCCATGCGTGTCGTATGAGACGACTAAAATGCCGGGAGCAATGGGCTAGTAACCCCTTCTGTAGACATTTACTAAAAAAGAGAAGAAGAAAAACTTTATAAAACTGGGATGCTTAAATGTGCGTGGATGTAGTGCGGATGACAAGAAACAGATGATTGCTGGTGTTATGAATGAAAAGAAGTTGGATGTCCTGGCCCTAAGCGAAACAAAGCTGAAGGGGGCAGGGGAGTTTCGGTGGGGGAAAATAAATGGGATTAAATCTGGAGTATCTGAGAGAGTTAGAGCAAAGGAAGGGGTAGCAGTAATGTTGAATGATCAGTTATGGAAGGAGAAAAGAGAATATGAATGTGTAAATTCAAGAATTATGTGGATTAAAGTAAAGGTTGGATGCGAGAAGTGGGTCATAATAAGCGTGTATGCACCTGGAGAAGAGAGGAATGCAGAGGAGAGAGAGAGATTTTGGGAGATGTTAAGTGAATGTAGAGGAGCCTTTGAACCAAGTGAGAGAGTAATTGTGGTAGGGGACCTGAATGCTAAAGTAGGAGAAACTTTTAGAGAGGGTGTGGTAGGTAAGTTTGGGGTGCCAGGTGTAAATGATAATGGGAGCCCTTTGATTGAACTTTGTATAGAAAGGGGTTTAGTTATAGGTAATACATATTTTAAGAAAAAGAGGATAAATAAGTATACAAGATATGATGTAGGGCAAAATGACAGTAGTTTGTTGTATTATGTATTGGTAGATAAAAGACTGTTGAGTAGACTTCAGGATGTACATGTTTATAGAGGGGCCACAGATACATCAGATCACTTTCTAGTTGTAGCTACACTGAGAGTAAAAGGTAGATGGGATACAAGGAGAATAGAAGCATCAGGGAAGAGAGAGGTGAAGGTTTATAAACTAAAAGAGGAGGCAGTTAGGGTAAGATATAAACAGCTATTGGAGGATAGATGGGCTAATGAGAGCATAGGCAATGGGGTCGAAGAGGTATTGGGTAGGTTTAAAAATGTAGTGTTAGAGTGTTCAGCAGAAGTTTGTGGTTACGGGAAAGTGGGTGCGGGAGGGAAGAGGAGCGATTGGTGGAATAATGATGTGAAGAGAGTAGTAAGGGAGAAAAAGTTAGCATATGAGAAGCTTTTACAAAGTAGAAGTGATGCAAGGAGGGAAGAGTATATGGAGAAAAAGAGAGAGGTTAGAGAGTGGTGAAGCAATGTAAAAAGAGAGCAAATGAAAGAGTGGGTGAGATGTTATCAACAAATTTTGTTGAAAATAAGAAAAAGTTTTGGAGTGAGATTAACAAGTTAAGAAAGCCTAGAGAACAAATGGATTTGTCAGTTAAAAATAGGATGAGGAGAGTTATTAAATGGAGAGTTTAGAGGTATTGGGAAGATGGAGGGAATATTTTGAGGAATTGTTAAATGTTGATGAAGATAGGGAAGCTGTGATTTCGTGTATAGGGCAAGGAGGAATAACATCTTGTAGGAGTGAGGAAGAGCCAGTTGTGAGTGTGGGGGAAGTTCGTGAGGCAGTAGGTAAAATGAAAGGGGGTAAGGCAGCCGGGATTGATGGGATAAAGATAGAAATGTTAAAAGCAGGTGGGGATATAGTTTTGGAGTGGTTGGTGCAATTATTTAATAAATGTATGGAAGAGGGTAAGGTACCTAGGGATTGGCAGAGAGCATGCATAGTTCCTTTGTATAAAGGCAAAGGGGATAAAAGAGAGTGCAAAAATTATAGGGGGATAAGTCTGTTGAGTGTACCTGGTAAAGTGTATGGTAGAGTTATAATTGAAAGAATTAAGAGTAAGACGGAGAATAGGATAGCAGATGAACAAGGAGGCTTTAGGAAAGGTAGGGGGTGTGTGGACCAGGTGTTTACAGTGAAACATATAAGTGAACAGTATTTAGATAAGGCTAAAGAGGTCTTTGTGGCATTTATGGATTTGGAAAAGGCGTATGACAGGGTGGATAGGGGGGCAATGTGGCAGATGTTGCAAGTGTATGGTGTAGGAGGTAGGTTACTGAAAGCAGTGAAGAGTTTTTACGAGGATAGTGAGGCTCAAGTTAGAGTATGTAGGAAAGAGGGAAATTTTTTCCCAGTAAAAGTAGGCCTAGACAAGGATGTGTGATGTCACCGTGGTTGTTTAATATATTTATAGATGGGGTTGTAAGAGAAGTAAATGCGAGGGTCTTGGCAAGAGGCGTGGAGTTAAAAGATAAAGAATCACACACAAAGTGGGAGTTGTCACAGCTGCTCTTTGCTGATGACACTGTGCTCTTGGGAGATTCTGAAGAGAAGCTGCAGAGATTGGTGGATGAATTTGGTAGGGTGTGCAAAAGAAGAAAATTAAAGGTGAATACAGGAAAGAGTAAGGTTATGAGGATAACAAAAAGATTAGGTGATGAAAGATTGAATATCAGATTGGAGGGAGAGAGTATGGAGGAGGTGAACGTATTCAGATATTTGGGAGTGGACGTGTCAGCGGATGGGTCTATGAAAGATGAGGTGAATCATAGAATTGATGAGGGAAAAAGGTGAGTGGTGCACTTAGGAGTCTGTGGAGACAAAGAACTTCGTCCTTGGAGGCAAAGAGGGGAATGTATGAGAGTATAGTTTTACCAACGCTCTTATATGGGTGTGAAGCGTGGGTGATGAATGTTGCAGCGAGGAGAAGGCTGGAGGCAGTGGAGATGTCATGTCTGAGGGCAATGTGTGGTGTGAATATAATGCAGAGAATTCGTAGTTTGGAAGTTAGGAGGAGGTGCGGGATTACCAAAACTGTTGTCCAGAGGGCTGAGGAAGGGTTGTTGAGGTGGTTCGGACATGTAGAGAATGGAGCGAAACAGAATGACTTCAAGAGTGTATCAGTCTGTAGTGGAAGGAAGGCGGGGTAGGGGTCGGCCTAGGAAGGGTTGGAGGGAGGGGGTAAAGGAGGTTTTGTGTGCGAGGGGCTTGGACTTCCAGCAGGCATGCATGAGCGTGTTTGATAGGAGTGAATGGAGACAAATGGTTTTTAATACTTGACGTGCTGTTGGAGTGTGAGCAAAGTAACATTTATGAAGGGATTCAGGGAAACCGGCAGGCCGGACTTGAGTCCTGGAGATGGGAAGTACAGTGCCTGCACTCTGAAGGAGGGGTGTTAATGTTGCAGTTTAAAAACTGTAGTGTAAAGCACCCTTCTGGCAAGACAGTGATGGAGTGAATGATGGTGAAAGTTTTTCTTTTTCGGGCCACCCTGCCTTGGTGGGAATCGGCCAGTGTGATAATAAAAATAATAATAATATTTCTTATGGGGAAAATTAATTCGCCTTACGATAATTTTGGCATACGATGAGCTCTCAGTAACGGATTAATATCGTATGCCAGGGGTCCACTGTATTTATGGTTGTATACTTGGTCTCATTTGATAGAATGGAAAACATATTACAGAAATAGAGGTGACTTTGATTGGTTTTACTATGAAAAGAACCTTGAAATGGAGCTCAAAGTAGCGGAAATGTTTGTTTTTCGCCAATGCTCAAAAGTAAACAAATGATGTCATTTTCCAATAAATGTCCAAGCAGCCATTCTAATATGCAGTCATGAATGGGCTGACATTATTTATACAATTATTTACAATATTGCAGTAGTCTGCATAACAGTAAATCTTCTATTTTTTGTTTGAATAAAAATTCAAAATAGAAAGCAAGAGTAATATCAGAGGGGCCTGGAGATGTGACTGATGAACAAAGAAAATGTTATTTTAGAGCCAGGAATGTCTGCGTTGTTCATTCTGAACCTTATTTTGAAATTGTCATATTTTTTAAAATTTTTGTGAAATTAGCCAAATTGCAAAATTCTGACCATGTTATTGGGTAGTTGAAATTGGTAAATGGGCAGTTTCTTGTACTCAATCGATAGAAAAAATGGAGTTCTAAAGAAATAGCTATGAGTTTGGTCGACTGGAACAATGGAATTAGCCAAAAATAGGGCTCAAAGTGGGTGAAATGACCGATTCGTAAATATTGCCGAGGTTGTTAACTTCACGAGAGCGTAATTCCATCAGTTTCCCATCAAATTTCATTCTTTTGGTGTCATCACAATCGGGAAAAGATTCTCTATCATTTTATCAGATTTTTTTTTTTTTTTTTTTGGGGAAATTTTGCGACACCAGGAGACACCTCAGGATTTGGGGTTGTGACAGTCAAGGGGTTAAACTTACATCATCAGTACATTCTGCAGGAGAGAGCTGTGGGTTGATGTTTAGATCTGAAGTCCGCTGAAGGGTGGCATAAGGGTGCTCAGCACAGTGACGATTGGCATGGGTGAATCTGGATGTACAACCTGAATAAGGAAGAAAATACAGTAAGAACCTTTCCACAAATATTCAAGGTATAACTTTTGTATACAGTATCCTACTATAAGGCATAGTATTAACCCTCTTGGAGGCTTAATCCTCTGCCCTTAGACAAGGCTTGTGTAGTGACCCAGTCACAGTGATTGATACAGGCACAGTCATACGGATACAACTCGACAGTGTCTAGAATAATACAAGACATGGATAAACCTACCAATGTCATAGGATGCTTTATCTTCCCAAGGAAGTCCAGTAATATGTAGTTTTATGACTTGTGGATTTAGCACTTAGTTCTGATTGTAATAATAATAATACAGTGGAACATTGGTTTTCATATGCCCTAGTTGGAGACAATTCTTGGAGAAAATTATCTATAAAATGCATTTTTTTTGTTAATATTTTTGGGTGTCTGGAATGGATTAATTGGTTCTGTTCCAGGCACCCAAAAATATTAAATTGTCTCCAAGAACTGTCTCCAACTAGGGCATACGAAAACCGAGGTTCCACGTACATTAATATGTAGAAAAAACTGAACCCTCCAGGTGATGGGCTTTGTTAAAGTTTAGATATAAATTTTAACTCCATAACCAATGAAGCTGAATCCCTTTACCATCCTGGATGTTGGTTGGCACTCATGGACATTTATACTCCATTTTTATACATTTGATGGGTTTCTAGAGTTTTCCTACTCTCACACCCTGGCCCTGGACCAGGCTTATCTGGTTCATGGTAGTTTCCCATTAATATTCACTATTATTCAACCAATACGTTTGGAATACAATACATGAATAGCTGGCAACTACTGCAGTGCAATGCATTTTGATTAATGTAGTTGGTTGAGAAAGGATCCAGTACCTTGTCAATTAGTACCTACTTCAGCTATTAAAAAGCACCCCCTTAACTTATTAACAAATTATTATGCCAAACAAATCCTGAAAAACCTGTCTTTCATCCAATATTGTCACTTGCCTGTTCCATCCTTCCTTCAACTCTCATTTATTATTAGATATGCATATACCATCTCGTCATATTTTGTATCAATTCCAGTAACTAGCATCATTCTTATTGTAACTTTTATTAATGTTTAATTTTGAATTACTGAGTACTTTTAATATAGTATAATCTAAGTATTCGTATTCTTGAGTAACTTGCTATGATTTTATCTGCTTAATATACAATGAATATATTTTATTCTGAATATCATTTATGCCTTCTATACATATATTTAAAATACTAGTCCTTCTAGAGTTAGGTTTAAGCTTGACCAAAATGTTCTGCATAACTAAGGAGCTTTCCATGTGATTGAAGAAATGTCATGCAATTTTGTAGTTGGTGTATTGGGTGGAAAGAAACACTGATTGATGCATGGTTAACTTACATATTTTGATAAAGAAATGTAAAATGGGCAGGCTCAGGAAGATTACCTAGGTTTTATGCATTGTAATGTTTCCCCTTCAGCATCATGAACTAGGAATGCATCTATCATATAAAGTGAAGAATACTACTATATACGTATATAGAATGAACAGCACACCAACCCTATTAGAAATACATATTTTTTATAACCTCACTGACTTTTTCCTCACAAGGAAAGATTGATATATTACCTATAAAAATCTTTGCACAGTATGTATGAGGGGGAACGAAGTCAGTCATCATAATAGGTGCTGACCCAGAATTCCTCATGATTTATCTTGGAGACAGGGAATGAAAACTGAGGCACCACATAGGACGCACTCAGATGACAACACGTCATTTGAAACAGTACTTATCTCCATACAAGAAATATTTTTAAACAATCACAAAAAGAATTTTTAACAATAAGGATTTATTATGTCCTTACCTGGAGCTGAGCAGATGAAAGGTTTCTCGCCTGTATGTAGTCTCTGGTGGGTTTTAAGCTGCCCACTCTGCGTGAATGCCTTTGTACACCCAGGGAAATCACACTGGTATGGACGCTCACCTGAAAAGTTTAATTTGTTTAGTAGCATTGCTTAACCCTCTTACCTCATAATCTCACAGCATGTGTCATTTTGCCACACAAAATGAAAGTTCTGTGGACTTTTTGTAACTTAAAAGCCATGAGGTTACCATATATCTGGCACGTTTCCCTTGAAAGCATTTATTATACTATATAGAAACGGTTTTATAAAATACAAGAATGTGTCAAAGCAGTGTACCAGTATTATTTGCATTCCTCTCCTGTTGCATTTAATGAAATAATATGTCATAAGTTAGGGTTCTCCTAAAACACCTCAAAGACAGCTGGAATTCTCAAGCCTAAATTCACTGAAAGATAGGCAATAGAATACTGTACTATGGATACAATGGAAATCAAGAACCCCAACAGAACTAAGTCACTGTTTGGCTTTACTGGAGTATCCTATGTTCAATTCTATATAATTAGCTATACATAATTATCATAGCATTTTATAATAACTATGAGGCCTAAATAAACACTATTTACATATAAGCTGGATAATTTTTTCATTTACCTCAACAGAACAAGGGGATGAAACCCTCTTTTTTTCTGAAATTACTGAAAAGTTGTAAATTTTGATGTGGAGTTGCTGGAATATATATGGATGTCTTAGCACTGTGTAGAAAAAGTTATAAAGAGATGGGAATATTTGAATGGAAGGAGTAAATGTGGATTGTCACATGTATCACAGAAGTGAAGCTTAAGAAGTAGACATAATGTTCAACGAGTGTCAAAAGTCAGCTAAAAAATGTATTAGAAGATAAATGTTGAAATTTACACTTTCTACAGGAGCAGATACATGCTTATGGTGTCCTAACTTCAACAATTTGTTCATCACATTTTTTTAACTGCTGAAATGCTTACTACATCCTCTTGAACTGAATATATTGATCTACTACTCTGAAGAAAAAATTTCTAGCATCCTTTTGGCTTCACTGTCTCAATTTACAACTGTGGCCTCTTTGTATGTCAGTGACAAGTAAGATTATTATTATAATCAAAAAGAAGCGCTAAGCCACAAGGACTATACAGCGTGACAAGTAAGAAAAAATCCTTTTTATCTAATCTAATCTTTATCAAATCATGTAGATGCAAAGCAATAGTGTGCTTAGATAAGGGCAAGAAGCTATCCACTGCATTTATGGATTTGAACAAAGTCAAATGATAACTCTTGCCTATTCTGGGGATCATTACCCCAACAGCCTACTGTTTCTTAGACCAGACTCCCAAATGAGAAAATAAATGTATTACAAGAATAAGAACTGCTATTACATAACACAGGGAAATAATAAATATGTACTGTAAACAGAAGTTCTTAAGATTCACATGCCATCTTGTGTATTCACACAAGACAAAGGAAAGTCCAGCAATTTTACTAGTACAGTATAAAAACATTTACAATGTTTTCATTCATACTTGTATGAGGGAGTATTTTTCCAGTAAATGTTGGCTTAAGATGTGATATTAGCATGCATATAATTTATATAAAGTAGAGATTGTAAAAGAAGTGAATAAAAGTGTTGCAGATAGATATTAACTTAAACATAGGTGAATCGTAAAAACTGATAAGGGAAATGTTGCTGGAGTGTGGGAATGTATAGAAATAAAGCATCAATGGATGCAAAAGGGGGTAGGTGCTAGAGCAGTCATGCCAACACTTTTACATGAGTGTATATCACATTAGAGATCAGGTGTGGATATTATACAGAGAATAAGGAGTTAAGCAATCAGAAGACTGTGGGTATAAAAGCTATAACCGAATGGAAGAGGGGTGAGTGAAACTGTTTGGTCATTTAGAAAGGGTAGAGGAAGAGTATCACTGGAGAATCACATTTTGTACAAAGATTCTTGTAGACATTCATTAATATTATCTGGTGAAGTAAGAAAATATATTCAACTACATTACACAAGTTTACATTTTTAAGCTGTATGACCCTGGTGGGTTTAGCACTTGGTTTTGATTATAATAATTAATTTTTAAATTTGTGTTAGGATAGCCCAATTAAGTCAAAGCGACTTATTTCCACTGTAGGCCTTAATAAACTTTGTATGACATTCAGGATTTAAAGAGAGCAGTGAGTTATATATTTAAGGAAAAGAACTATTAAGGGTATACAATGTGGTAGACTACTTTACCATTTTTACCACAGTATTGTTTACCTTTCATTATAGGTGTACTTAGTTTTCAAAGATTTGTCATACAAGGTTTTGGGCCTTTTCAGTCTTATGAAAGGAATAGAAAGACAATGACTTGGCAAGTCATACGAGTGGAACAAATCTGTCAAACAGGTTCTGCAAGGAAGTACTTAAGAAGCTTTTAATATAGTGGAATAAATAGGCATGAATAGGGTCTGCATAGGATAGACATGTTTTTAAAGCTATATAATAACTACCGCTGACTAACCTGCATACATGTCCATTGTATATAAACACTGATAATTTTAATTAAATATTTAAAAAGCTTCTATGGCTATGCTGACCCCGGTAAGTAAGTTTTATTCAGGTATACAGTTACACTGATTATCACATTATACTTTACTATACTGTCATATATCCAAGTTATGCTCTGCATAACCACGAACTTTCTTTAATGTCAATAATATCACATTCTCTGTAATTGTAAACCATTCTTTATAGAAATAAACTTTATTCAGGTGGGGTACAATCTTGTAAGCCACCTATTGCAGTCCTCCAAGTCTTGCTTAATAATATCAAACGTGCTTCAGTTTTTTTTTCAGTGGATAAAATGCACATAAATATGCACGCTATACTGTGGTATTTCATTACTTGAAACGCCAAACCAACTTTTAACGTCTTTCTATAGTTCCTTTTAATTATAATAACAATAACGCCTTTCTATAAACGCAGGAAAAAAAAACCATACTTGGTAACACGTGCAGTGTTTAAATATAACAACGGCCTAATGGTACTGAATAAGTTATAAACTCACTTGCCTTAGCATTTACTATACAGGATTATTCCATACCAAAACAAGATTTCTTTCAGTAAATATGACACTGTCATTTTATAAATTTCACTAATATATGCAGGCACGGTATTAAATGCTCGTTAAACATGCTGGAAAAGATATACATTTCTATTGTATCACTGTCAAGCATCATTATATTAAGAACACAGTTATTAAGAATGTGCAGATCACAGCCATCCTCAACATTCCCACGTAAAAAAAAAAAAAAATACCCGCGTAAACGGGATGGCGTCCTCCCGCGCCTGCCTCTCGCCTTTTAATTTATGGTGTTAAATACTTTAAAATGCTACCATTAAAGTACAAAAAAAAATATTGGGAATAAAAGTGTTTTAAATAATATAGTGTAAATAATTTGATTTAAATGTCATTAACGAAGATAAACGTTGGTGCCTAAGAACCCCAAAAAGTTTAAATGACGAGTCACATGATCATATTGCATTTGCATTCACGGGGAAATGATAAACCGGGAATAACTACAGAACTCTAGAAATAGGAGCCAATCAGGTGTGATCCAAGAATGAGAGCATAATTCTAATCCCTTGGAGCAAGAGCCCTTCACCAACATGGCAACCCAAAGTTGGGTAAGAGACAAAAGTAAAATAAATCGGGCTTATAACTAACATGACTGCTTTACTGTTAAATAAAATAAATAAAAAAAAGAGTATATGCGAAACTTTGTATTTTACTGAACGTGTAAAGCTTTATATTTAAATTTACAGCAATCTTTTATTAGAACAAATTCACGCTACAAGTTTGTTTAGGCTTCACTCAGCAAAATTTACAGCCTACGTAAAAAATAAATTCAAATTTATAATAAAAACAGGTGATAAGCGTTCTACATATGGTCTATTAATTGCAGGTTTACCCTTTCCCGCCATGCAGCCACAATAGCCTGAGCCAGCGTGTGTTGCGCAACCCTACAGTATCACCATACCTAACTAATTCACCTTTATAAATCCATCTAAAAGTACACAAAATAAAGAAAAGGAAAAAAATCACAAAATACATACATGAACATCCCGTTTTATTTCTCAAATATTCTATCCAGACCGTTTAGTTCGTTTAAAAAGCGTTACCGGATTACTGACGTCATTCTTCACACAAGTTAAGGTCAGATGCACCAGTTTTGAAGCCTACTTGTATTTAATGATATTTCACGGTCATAGTCATATTTCTAATACATCTGAATACCTCGGTATCGCTTAATAATAAGATAGCACAGGTGCAGTTTAAAAATGGCGAATTAAATGCCAGTCTTACCAGTATGAGTCCGAAGATGAGCCTGAAGTGATTTCTCTCTTGGAAAGACTCTGTTGCAAATGGGACACTTAATACTGCTAGGAGACTGAGCACCTTCGATAATAAGAGAGTTGATAGCATCAGCCCGTGGACGTCCTCTTTTAGATTCACAGCTTCTTGGATCAGGGCTGTCACAAGAGTTGCTCCCGCTACTGCAACAGGGACTGCTGAGCTCCACTTTACACAGACTTTCTCCCCAATTCCAAGGGTACAGGGTATTATCCTTCATCGGTGGACTTCCCGAGAACGACATTCCACTGATTGCACCATTCGGCTGCCGTTTTGGCGTTGAAAACTGCGATTCTTCACGACACTTTTCCGACATGACTGCACACTACGGCTCCATAGATTTACCGCGCTCTACGGCAGCTTTTACCGCCAAAACAAATCGAAATGTTCGCGGGGTTTTTCTGGCGCACTGATTGGCCGCTCTCTCTGGATTAGCTGCGCGATAAACATTGGTCAATTTTGACTCCCCAGCGCTATTCACAAGTAATAAATATTAAGAATTTGTGTAAAGTTGTAATTATAGTCTCTACACATTCAGACATAAACGCAATGATTTGTTATTGTTGGTAAAAAAAGGTTTCATTAATAGGCAAATGGTTCCCGCCACATTATTACCTGACGAGCTGCAATCTTGTTTCTATTCTAGGTAGATTACTACATTAAAGCTTATACTTTTAAGTGAAATTTTCTCAGGAATTATGTTATTTCATACGGTTTATTCAATATTTAGAATGTATGATTTCAACAAATTCCGAATAAAATATTATGCCATTTAAATGTGAGGTGCTGAGCCGCCCAGTGTGGCTGTAACCCGCAGTTTGAGGCACAGTCTTGTCACGCCATTTTGGATGATCGGAAGAAGAGAAGGCTGAAAAGCAGCCAGGAAATCTTATAATATCCTCACCATCGGAGGATTTTGCTGAACATGGAGAACTCTTACGGCATAGGGGTTCGTAACCGTTACGAACTCTTCTATAATGAAGATATTGACCCAATGGATCTCTTAAAACAGACTGAAAAGATTAAGGATAAGGCTTCGGAGAAGGAAAACAAGGGAAAAACCGCCAAGGCGAAGTCTCCCGTAGTGAAGAAAGGCGTTAAGACTGAAACCGCTCCCAAAATCTCCGACAAGACAAGTCTACCTGGTGAGTGTGTAGTGTGTCCATCTTGCAGTAGGTAGTGTGAGTGTATTGTAAGAGTGCATGCCAGACTGAAGAGTTAGCACGTGCGCAGCAGCAGCAGTCAGCTTTGTTGTTCTCCCCTGACTCACCTGACACCCTCTCATAACATTGTACTTGTCATCTACATCATTCTCGTCATTCCTTCCTCCCCAGTTGTGTACACGAGTACTTCAAGCAAAATGTCATGACACATGGTTGATGTGGGGTTATTAATAGACCGGTTAGGGTGAGTGATCTTCCCTCTTTATCAAATGTTTTCATTCTTAAGAACATAAAGAAGGAACACTGCAGTAGGCCTACTGGCCCATACGAGGCAGGTCCAAGTCTCCTACCGGCTTAAGCCAATGCCCCAACATAGTCAGGTCAGGTCACATTCACTTAAGGAAGGAACACGGCAGCTGACCTAGTAGCACAAGCTAGTCAGGTCTAACTCACACCCACTCGTGTATTTATCTAACCTATTTTTAAAACTACACAACGTTTTAGCCTCTATAACTGTACTGGGGAGTTTGTTCCACTCGACATGACTTAAGAAATCGTAATGACACGATTGCAAATAAACCATACCCCCGGCCGGGATTGAACCCGCGGTCATAGTCTCAAAACTCCAGCCCGACGGGCTGGAGTTTTGAGACTATGACCGCGGGTTCAATCCCGGCCGGGGGTATGGTTTGTTCCACTCATCCACAACTCTATTACCAAACCAGTGCTTGTAAATTGCCTAGGATAATTAAAAAAAGCCAGACTGACTAATTGCCATTGGGATCCTTGAGTAATTGCCATTGGGATCCTTGAGTAATTGCCATTGGGATCCTTGAGTAATTGCCATTGGGATCCTTGAGTAATTGCCATTGGGATCCTTGAGTAATTGCCATTGGGATCCTTGAGTAATTGCCATTGGGATCCTTGAGTAATTGCCATTGTCTTGTATTGCCATGGATCCTTGACTAATTGCCATTGGGATCCTTGACTAATTGCCATTGGGATCCTTGACTAATTGCCATTGGGATCCTTGACTAATTGCCATTGGGATCCTTGACTAATTGCCATTGGGATCCTTGACTAATTGCCATTGGGATCCTTGACTAATTGCCATTGGGATCCTTGGCTAATTGCCATTGGGATCCTTGGCTAATTGCCATTGGGATCCTTGGCTAATTGCCATTGGGGATCTCTTATACGTGATTCTTAAAATTTAACTTGATTAACAATGCCAGTGGAAATAAATCAAATTCATTAACTAATGTGGATTATCCTAGGTTTTGTTCTATGTAATTTACTATGTATAACCTATGTTAAAGTTTTAAAATTATTTATGAGGCATAAATAAAATTAACTTCATCTGACATTATATGGTTAATTTCTTTTTTACCTTCACTAATGAGCGGTTCTTTAAAAAAAAAATATTTTAAGAACATTAGAGAGAAGGAACACTGCAGCAGGCCTACTGGCCCATGCAAGGCAGGCCCAAGTCTCCTACTGGCTTAAGCCAATGACCCAACCTTGTCAGGTTGGGTCACATTCACTTAAGGAAGGAGCACGGCATCTAACCTAGTAGTACAAGCTAGTCAGGTCCAATAAGATAAACAAATTTAAAATGGGATAATTGTTTACTTGAACTGCTTGGTGGAGTTGGGTGATTAGTTAAGTGTGAAAAAAATTAAGTGGTTTTTGCACTGAACATCATTTGAAAAAGCAAGTTATAAATAATTATTTCACAATGGGTCATACCTGGAGAGGGTTTTGAGGGTCAACACCCCCATGGCCCGGTTTATGACCAGATCTCGCTGTGGATCAGGGCCTCAACCAGGCTTACTGCTGGCCACAAGTAGACTGGCATATGAATCACAGCCCAGCTGGTCAGGTACTGACTTAAGGGGCCTGTCCAGTGCCTTCTTGAAGACCAGGGATCTATTGGTAATCTCTCTTATGTATGCTGGGAGGCAGTAGAACAGTCTTGGACTTCTGACACTTATTGTGTTATCTCGTAGCGTGCTTGTGGTACCTCTTTTTTCCATTGAAGGGATGTTGCACCGCCTGCTGAGTCTTGCTTTCGTAGGGAGTAATTTTCATGTGCAAATTTGGCACTAATCCCTCTAGGATTTTCCAGGTGTATATTATGTATCTTTCCCACCTGTATTACCAGGGAGTACAAGTCAAGGAACTTCAACCATTCCCAGTAATTTGGGTGTTAATCGTACTTGTGTGTGCTGTGAAGGCACTGTACACTGCCTTGAAAAGCGCCATTAGTGTACAGTAATATTCCAGCCTAGAGAGAACAAGCGATTTGAAGAGAATCGCCATGGGCTTTGCATACCTCATTTTGAAGGTTCTCATTATCCATCCCATTATTTTCCTAGCAGATGTGGTGGATACATTGTTGTGATCTTTGAAAGTGAGAGCCTCTGACATTATCACTCCCAGGTCCTTCACATTAGTTTTTTGCTCTATTGTGTTGTTGGAATTTGTTTTATACTCTGATAGTTTTAATTTTCTCAAGTTTTTCCATATCGGAGTAATTGAAGTCTGTCTGTCTGTATTTAACTTCATATTGTTTTCTATGGCCCAGTTAAAGATTTGGTTGATGTCCGCTTGGAGTCTTGCAGTATCTTCGATGGAGGACACTGTCGTGCAAACTCAGACGTTATCCGCAAAGGAAGTCATGGTGCTGTGGAACAGGATGGAAGCGAGTACTGTGCCTTGTGGAACAGAGCTTTTCATTGTGGCTGCTTCAGACTTTGTTTACTTATACTCTTTGTATTCTATTTGTGCTATATAAGGTTCTAGCCCAAACTTACTTAATGTAACCCAACCTGACCTAAGGTAATCTAACATAAAACTGTAATCTAATAATTATTGAAGTGATACTTGCTTTATTTATACAAGAATCATTCCATGCTGTTAAAAACACACGGTGTTCATATAATATACACTTTGTAAACAATGCTGTTTGTTTAACCCTTTCAGGGTCCCCAGGCCCTCTCCCAGACTTGTTCTCAGGGTCGCCCAAATTTCAAAAAAATTAAATTATTTTTTTCTTATGAAAAGATAGAGAATCTTTTTCCTGATCATAATGACACCAAAAGTATGAAATTTGATGGAAAACTTAAGGAATTATGCTCTCGCGAAGTTAGCGGTCTCGGCAGTGTTTATGCATCAGCGATTTTGCCTACTTTGAGCCCTATTTTCGGCCAATTCCAATGTACTAGTTGACAAAAATCATAACTATTTCGCTGGAACTCCATTTTTTCTATCAAATGAGTACAAGAACCACCCATTTACCGATTTGAACTATCCAATACAGTGGTCAGAATTTAGCAATTTTGCCAATTTCACACAAATTTCAAAAGATGCCAATTTCCAAATAGGATCCAGAATAAACAAGAAAGACATTCCTGGCACTAAAATAACATTTCCTCTGTTCATTAGTCATGTCCCCATGCTCCTCTTACATTCTTTTGCTTTCCACTTTGAACTTTTATTCTCACAAAAAAATAGATTTACTGTTATGCAGACTACTGCATTAGTGTAGAAATGGTGTAAATAATATTGGTGCACCTGTGAAAGAATATTAGACTCGCCAGTTGACGTGTATTGGACGCTTAGCATGATTTGTTTACTTTTGAACTTTGGTAAAAATCAAATGTTTTTGCTACTTTGAGCTCAATTTCAAGGTACGTTTCATTGTAAAACCAGTCAAAATCCTCAATTTCTGTAATATGTCTTCCATTCTATAAAATGAGACCAGAAAAACTAGAATACACCAAAAAATACCATGCGAAAATACAGTGCAAAGTCGCTGTTTTAATTCAAGAACACTCATTTTTTTTTCTCTCTCTCATTACGCACTGTGCTGCAGGTTTTTTATACTGCACACACTGACCACGTAGACCTATTTTTTCATATGTAGGCCTACCAGCTTTCTCTAACTAAGTTTGAGGGCGCTAGAATTTAGGCGTACTAGCACGTCAAAAACCCTGGTGCGTAAGCCGTACTAGTATGTCCGAAACCCTGAAAGGGTTAAAAACAATATTACTGTAATGTCAGGTTTGAATACTAGGGCTGCTTGGTTTGGCATGCATTAAGAACATAAAGGAGTACTGCAGCAGGCCTACTGGGCTACGCTAGGCAGGTTCAACTGAAACTGCTCTTGTACTTGTCTTAACTATTTTTATTGCTAGTCTTTTTTTCTCTTAAGTATTTCTGGCTAATATCTTCTACAATAACAATTTGTACATGAAATGTTGGGTATAATTACTGACAGTATACATTGGAACCTCGGCTTATGAACTCAATCCGTTCCGTGACCTTGTTCGTATCCTGATTTGTTTGTATGGCGAGTCAATTTAACTTATCTAATATGACTAATAAACAATATAAATAACATAGAAACCTGATCTATACTCAAGAATGAATAAAATGCCATTGTGACAAGTGGAAGCGGCCATAACCACTCCTGCATTGTTGTGGTATTCACTTCCATCTAGTGATGGCCTTTCGAAGCTGTCTATTATAATTATTATAGTACATTTTTATTATATTATTATACGTACATATTATTATAATGGGGAAGCGCTTGTGGGGGGAGGGGGATGGAAGGTATTCAGGCTTAATTTAGGGAACTGGAACACAGATCCAATTCTCTAGATCAAGAGCCTCACCATGTACTAATATTATTATTATTATTAACATTAATAATACAATATAATAACAGTAAGGAGAAACTTCAAAAGGCTGCCAGTGATTGGTGCCACCATCAGCACAACATTGGTAACCACTACTTTTCACCTGTCAAGACTTAAGTAGTCTATAAATATTAGGTTGTCTGCCCGAAATGCCTCGGCATGATAGCAGCTTTCTTTGCTCCAATCATATATGTAAACACACATTGTAACCTTTGCAAAGAAATAAATAATTTATTTATTTAAGGAACCTCCCTTGAGGGGGAAGTATGGGTCCTGAAATTTCGTTCGTATCCAGAAGCAAAAAATTGGCCGAATGACAGTTCGTATCCTGAAAAGTTCACATGGTGGGGCGTTCATAAGCCAAGGTTCCACTGTACACTTATCAGCACTACATACAACTTAGGTATATCATGGAAAAAGTATGTATTGTGCAGATATTTATTTTGGGAGATTAACACAAATTGGTTAGGTTAGGTTATATTAGGTATGTTTCATTATATTATGTATCAACCTGAAAATGCCACCCATCTGTTTACATTTGACTAACCACACAATAGCATAAAAAAAAAACTAACATGATGGACCCAGGAGTGATAGAGGATCTCATCATCAACGACCAAAAGTCTTTATCACAACTATGAGGAAAATGATAGGATGGATGAGGTGAACCTTCAAAACAAAGTATGTCAAGCCAGTGATGATCCCCATTAAGTCACTTGTTCTATCAAGGCTGGAATACTGCTATACACTAACAGCTCGTTTCAAGGCAGGTAAAAATTGCAGAGCTGGAGAATGTAGAGGACCTTCACTGCATGTATAAGCTCAGTAAAGCACCTCAGTGACTGGGAATGTTCAAAATCCCTTGATCTGTACTCCGGAGCACAGGTGAGAATGATATATCATAATTTACACTTGGAAATCCTAAAATCCTGGAGCGACTGGTACCAAGTTTTCAAATCAAAATTGCTCCCAATGAAAGCAAAAGACTGCAATCAGTGCAACATTATTTTTATTCATTTATTATCACACTGGCCGATTCCCACCAAGGCAGGGTGGCCCGAAAAAGAAAAACTTTCACCATCATTCACTCCATCACTGTCTTGCCAGAAGGGTGCTTTACACTACAGTTTTTAAACTGCAACATTAACACCCCTCCTTCAGAGTGCAGGCACTGTACTTCCCATCTCCAGGACTCCAGTCCGGCCTGCCGGTTTCCCTGAACCCCTTCATAAATGTTACTTTGCTCACACTCCAACAGCACGTCAAGTATTAAAAACCATTTGTCTCCATTCACTCCTATCAAACATGCTCACGCATGTCTGCTGGAAGTCCAAGCCCAGCAGGCATACCCAACATACCCCCAGTAAAAAGCAAGGGTGCCATGAGTACAAATGTCAGGGGCCCAAGGCAGTTCAACAGCCTTCCATCATATGTAAGGAGGATTAGCAGTAGACCCTTATCAGTCTTCAAGAGGGAACTGGATAGATACCTAAAGCCAATGCCTGACCAGCCTAGCTGTGGCTCTTATGTTGGATTGCACATTGCCAACAGTAACAGCCTTGTTGATTGGGTATAACTCTCAGCCTCCCACACACTCAAGTACTTGTCTAACCTATTTTTAAAGCTACCAAAGTTCTCACTTCAGTGACACTGCTCCAGTTTTCTTCCCTCAACTACAGCTTTTACCAGACCATTGCTTTCCTTTATCCTTTCTAAATATAATTTTTTTCAGCCTGAACCCATTTCTGCAAGGCCTACCTTGGTTATTTATGTAAAATATGATGATGGTACTGTGATTAAAAGGAAAAAAGGTAGGAAAAGTTCCTTCCCTTCCTTGGATTGAACCTAATTGGTTTTCATACCCCTGGTGTTGTATGACCTCTGTGGTTTAGCACTAGAGACTTAAAATTTTGCATTTTTGGCATTGAATTATTTTCTGCCTGGTGCCTACCTGGACTTGTATTGGTTTAGCACTTCCCCTTTGAATAAAATAATGATATAGGATAATAACGTATCCTTTTATTCCTCTATCTAGTAATTCTGTTTGTGTGGTTCTTTATCTTCACCTAAGTAATGGTTTAACAGCATATGACTTGCAGTAAAATGTGATCACTATTTCCATGTGGATTGCTTCATTTATATGCTGAACCTTTAACCCTTAAACGGTCCAAACAGATCGATGTTCAGATCTGTAGTGCTCCAAAAGTAGATCTACTTTTTTTTTTTTTTACATTTTCAAATATAACAAAAAAAATGTAGATAAAAGTTTTTTTTACACATTTTCAAATGTAAAAAAAAAGATTACATTTTTTTACATACTCTCAGATGTTGAAAAAACGTATATATACGTTTGGACCATTTAACCCTTTGACTGTCGCAACCCCCAATCCTGAGGTGTCTCCTGGTGTCGCAAAATTTAAAAAAAAAAATATTTTTTCTTATGAAATGATAGAGAATCTTTTCCCGATTGTAATGACACCAAAAAACGAAATTTGATGGAAAACTGACGGAATTATGCTCTCGCGAAGTTAGCGACCTCGGCGCTGTTTACAAATCGGCGATTTCGCCCACTTTGAGCCCTATTTTCGGCTAATTCCATTGTTCCAGTCGCCCAAACTCATAGCTATTTCTTTAGAACTCCATTTTTTTCTATCGATTGAGTACAAGAAACTGCCCATTTACCGATTTCAACTCTCTAATAATGTGGCCAGAAATTTGCAATTTGGCCAATTTCACGAAAACTAAAAAATATGATAATTTCAAAATAAGGTCCAGAATGAACAATGCAGACATTCCTGGCTCTAAAATAACATTTTCTTTGCTCATCAGTCATGTCTCCAGGCCCCTCTGATATTACTCTTGCTTTCAATTTTGAATTTTTATTCAAACAAAAAATAGAAGACTTACTATTATGCAGACTACTGCAATGCTGTAATAATTGTATAAATAACATCAACCCATTCATGACTGCATATTAGAATGGCTAGTTGGACATTTATTGGACAATGGCATCATTACCTGGAGTTTACCTGGAGAGAGTTCCGGGGGTCAACGCCCCCGCGGCCAGGTCTGTGACCAGGCCTCCTGGTGGATCAGAGCCTGATCAACCAGGCTGTTGCTGCTGGCTGCACGCAAACCAACGTACGAGCCACAGCCCGGCTGATCAGGAACTGACTTTAGGTGCTTGTCCAGTGCCAGCTTGAAGAC